GTAATGTCCAGTGTTGGGGAGTAACTAGTTACATGTAACGGCGTTACGTAATTTAATTACGAAATAAAAGTAACAGTAATTCGTTACAGTTACTGAGGAAAATGTGTAATTAAATTACAGTTACTTTTGAAAATGTTAAAGATTACAAATGGGGTTACATCTAATATTTTTCTTTAAAAATCTGGGATATGTTGAATAATATTAATCTATTGCTTTGCCTGTTTTTGATATGCGATGCCTTGATTTGCGGCGAAACCACAAGCGTAAATCCCAGGGGGAACATCTTCATTGTCTCCCTCACCGAATAAAATATATAAATTTATATAAAAACGCACTCTCTATTGTGAATAATATATGTGTGTATGCCTAAAATAATTGTCTAAGTAGAAAAAAAAACTTGCATTTATTATTTAAAACGCATTTAGAAAGAGTTTGCCCCCGCTTCTTCATAGTGGTTTGACCCACTGCCTCCAGCGCGTCTCACCTACTCAGGCTGTCACACACAGACACACAAGTTAGGTGTGCGGCTACGGGTCAGTGTTGAATTTCAGTAAGTATGGTGTATTAATCACATTAAATAAAGCGATTCTCTTCAATGTAGTTGATTCAGAATCATTCATAAATTAGTTGCGGCAAAAATGCTGATTACCGATGTCCATGAATCGGCTGTATTTATATGTATGGTTAAAATTACTCATGTAGTTAACGTTTGCTTGTTAACGTTAGCTTGTTGCATAGTGCACTGCAAATAATACGCCAAAGCCGTTTCCCATGCATTGTTTTCATTTGTGACGACTTGACGTAATGTTAACTTTACATTAAAAGTCACAATTAGCATATTGTTTAGCTGTGGATTTGCTAAATGAGCACTGTGCTACATCCAAACTAACCCCATTGTATTTTTTGTATAATCAATTTCAGTTCTGTTCTTAAGTGACTAAATTCATTTAAAATATAAAATGTCCTTGTTTTTATTGTTGTGTTTATTTTTATGATAGTTTTTCCTTCTTTATGTAAAGCACTTTGAATTAGCATTGTGTATAAAATGTGCTACAGTATGAATAAACTTGCATTGCAGGGTCATGGACTAGATAAAATGATTGAGGTAAAGTTGGTTTTATATTCGCACATTCATTCCGTGACTGCTCCATACACAGTTTACCATGGTAATTTGAATATTCTAAATTAAATCCCATGCAAGTCTGACTTCAAAACAACATTAATAATAACAATAATAATAATTAATTTTATTTGTATAGCACTTTTCCTACATACATGCAACTCAAAGCGCATCACAAACAACAAACAGGCATTGTAAAAAAAAAAAATGTATAGACAAATAAAGCAAAATATAAACTCGGATACAAGCATACATGTACACGCATATATGCATACATCTACACAATCACACACAATATTCATTACATACATGCACACACCTTACATACATATATACATAAACCGACACAATATACTTAAATTGCATACACTTCACAAACTGTTACATTCATATGCAATTTAAAAAAGGTGCGTCTTAACAAGCTTTTTAAAAACATCAATGTTGGGGGATTTTTTCACTTCATTTGGGAGACAATTCCAAATTTTTGCAGCATAGTGACTAAAAGAAGTGCCGCCAGATCGCATCAGATTTACAAAGTGAAATTCTAAAAGTCGAGCACTAGAAGAGCGTAGCAAATGGTTTGGATTATATTTTGATAAGCAGTCAGAAAATTAAGGTGTCATGTAGTGTAGTGCCTTATAAACTAATAAAAGAATCTTAAAATCTGTTCTATTAATGCTGGTGTGATATATTCTCAAGTCTTTGATTTCATTAGGACTCTGGCTGCTTTATTTTGTATCAGTTGGAACGTCTTTATAGAACCTTTAGGTAAACCAGGATAATATTAGCACTATTAATTAACTGTGAACAATGCTGTACTTTGATGGTTGTTGGCTGATAATATGATTTTACTATTTAGAATTTCTAATGAATACTCTTCTGAGATTATATTATTAATGAGAGACTGGAAGTGCGAATGTAAAACCAACTTTACCTCAATGATAAAATGACAGAGAAAAGGAAAACGGACATAATATCATTTTTCAGTGCAGCAAAACTCCAAGTTCAAAAAGTTGACATATTAAGGCTATTTGGCTTTCAGAATGAGTGCTTATGAAAATACTAATGTCACAATATCAATCACAGGAGAAGGAGAAAGAAATGATTGAGGAACAGGCAGAGCAGGGTCACTCAGAAGTACAGTGTCAGGTAACGGTGTTGTGCTTTTTTGAAGGGATAATGACAATTCTTTTAGGGGTGAACAATTTTTTTTTTGAGATTCTACCAGTAAACAGAGCTATTGTAAGGTTACACCTGCTTGGTATAAATGCTTGAAAATAATTTAAATGAAAATATACATTAGGAACTTAAAAGTAATCAAATGTAATTAGTTACTTTACTTCTGTAAAGTAATTGAAAAGTAGTGTAACTTATTGCATTTTAAATAGGGTAGTTTGTAATCTGTAATCTATTACATTTCCAAAGTAACCTTCCCTACACTGGTAATGTCTAAAGGGATGACTTTTTAAGATTATAAAGCTGAACAGCATGAAATGCCATCAGTCTACAGCAGGGGTCATCAACTTTTTGAAAGGTACATATTTGTACTTAAAGGGTTCTTATGAATACCTCATTGTACATAATAGTACCTAAAAAGTACAAAAGTGTACCTCTTGAAATTTGTAGGTACTAATATTAACCTTTGAAGTACCAACATTTACCCTTTAAGTACAAATATGTACCTTTCAAAAAGGTACCACCCCAATGACAGCTCTCATACCTTTATTGCTGAGTGTATGTGGTGCTGTGGTTGAACTTGTATCACAACATCAATAAAGGAGAAGTTATATTTCTTACATTTCTACTGTACATTTCTAGGGTAATTTACATTTCTATTGTAACCTCATGCACATTTAAACATTCATGTGTGGTGTTGGCAAAAAGAAAAAACTTCAGTAAAGTGTCCTTTCTTTATACATTGATGCGTCGTGTTTGTTTATTTTTGAATTGTGCATGGACATAAATAAAGGTTTTGTTTATAAATAAATAAAGATTTTGTTATATATATATAGGGTGAATTTGGGTAATCTGGGACATTGTGTAATCTGGGACGCCTAAGCTTATGTGTGTTTATTTCTGTTCTAACAAAATTTAGGCAACAGGACTTTTATTATAAATTTAGCATGGACTTCATGTGAGAAAAATCACATGACTTCATTGGGGTATTCCATAGAGGGGGGGCAGGGCACTTGTCAATCAGGAAGCTCTAATCAAAATTGGACGACAAGGTCAGTGACATAGGATTCTGACTAGATTAATGTTAAGGACATAAACCTGTCATACATAAGACAATATTCCCAATTGTTGTTAAATTATGTTTGTGATCTATTCAAGTAACAATTTATATATATATATATATATATATATATATATATATATGTTTTTTATTTTTTTATTTATTTTTTTTTTTTTACACACACACCCCATATGGCTCTTAAAAAAACCACATTTGATTAAAAAAAATCTGAAATGGCTCTTTGCTGAAAAAAGGTTCCTCACCCCTGTCCTAGGCCATTTAGTGATTTACAGACCAGTAATAATACTTTAAAATCTATTCTGAATGTAACTGTGAGCCAGTTTAAAGACCTGAGGACAGGTGTGATTAAAAACCTTTTAAATATTATAATAATTAAAAGAGGTCATTAATATTGATATTGACTTTATAAATTTGTAAACTTTTTGAGAAAATAGTGTTTATACTGGACTTTCTCTAGACGCAAAAAATTGTTAAACATCACTTTAAATGTTTGAAGAATCATAATTTTTGAGGAGGGCTATTAATTTGGTTTTTTACTGTGTATATTTAGTTTTTTTATAACATACACTAAAGTGTGCAACTGTGGTTCCCCCAAACCGACACTGGCGGGCGCCAGATATCAGGAAAAGCCTCCTCCTGCATCATCAGTCAGTCCTGCATGTGAGAGCTCCAGTAATTACGGGTCTCAGCGCAACATCAATTATTCACAGTTATTTACACGCAAATAAACAAACATTCAGATAAATAAATAATCCAGTACCTGCGCGGGGCCGCTGCGCGCAGCTGAAGCCCGACACAACTGTCTGTATTTGTTTGCCTGCCCGTTAAATAAATGAAAATCCAGCTCGAGAAGTGTGTGTGTGTGTGTGTGTGTGTGTGTGTGTGTGTGTGTGTGTGTGTGTGTGTGTGTGTAGGGGGAGATCCTGGAGCAGACGCCTCCATCTAGCCGTGCGCAATAATTGAAATGGCGCATTTGGCCGCGGGCGCACAGTGAATGATGTCCAGACGTCATTCGCTTTTAATGGCCTTCAGGAAATTTGCCATTACAATTCTCGCAGACATTAGAGCGCGGAGAGGAGTTGCCTGAGCGCCGCGTCCAGATTTCGGCGTCGTAAAAAACAACACGCGTCTTTTTATCGCCACTTTATCAACAAGTTCTCCGCCGCAGCGCGCGCGCGGAGAGACACACACTCTCTCCGACTCGTTCAGGGGAAGGAAAATGTGTTGCCTTTGTGAAAGAGCCTGGGGGAATATTACATCAGACGAAATGACAATGATTAAAATCAGCCTTTCTGCCTCTCCAAAGTCTCAGGAACGGCGCGGTGACACTTGCCTGATGCGTAAACCGTTATGCGCCCAACTTTAGAGCTATTTTTTTTCCAGCTGAAACAATCAAGGAGGGGGGGAAATATCAGGTTTGCATCTGTTCCAATGAGTGTGCTCGGGTTTGAGTTAATTGTCCTCTAATCCTGTGTGGCCCCAGAGGCGTTTGCGCAGCCCGGAGCCAGAATTCTTCTTTCGGCTCTGCTCTGATTCAGAGACGGATTATTGGCTTCCTTCTGCCCATAAGCAAAGCAGCAGATTCGCCGTGGCCAAAAAAGCCTGATACACACACACGCTTGTGTTGAGAAATAAGAAGATCAAGAGGGGGAAGGAGAGCTCGGTCTCCTGGAGAAGGTAAGACAGTCCTGCGCGCGTTTGCGCTCTGAACGCGTCCACACAACAGCAGCGCTGCGCTTTAATGCAGTTTGACGGGGTTTTTCACTCCAGACAGGAAGGGAATATAGCTTTTTCGGATAGAAACTTGAGCGAGAGACGCGAACATTCATCTGGGAGCCGATTGATCCGAACTCCGGACACCTACGATGTTTGAAACGGTACCGTTTCCTGTCAAATCTCACCTCCATGTAGACTAGATCATTGATGTGATGCTGGTTTATTTTGTGTGTGTGCTGCGCCGTGACAACGCGTACCAAATCGCGTGCGATTTTCAGATTTCTAACCCTGTTTAAACAGCCTCCAGGCACTGAGAGTCTGCTAGCTATTATTATTCGCGGGATACACATGCATGCATGCATATGCCTCATACCTGAAGCTTTATCGCTGGGAGTGAGACGCCATGTTGTGAAATGATCCGAATTGAAGTTTTAACCCGTAGGGCACCGACCTAAACTGATTTCATTGTATATATCCAAGTTTTCGCCGATCTCTCCTCCATCGTCGGTTTCACAGACAGTCCGCCATTAAGAGTTGAACACAAACGTGTTTATTTGGGGACTGAATGGAAAGGAGAGTCTCGAAGTTTGACTGCTAACAATATGTGCTAGGATATCTCACCGAATAAAGCTAAAAGTAAGTTTTTTTTCGAATATCAGTACACAGTAGGTTCCCATCTGGTGATTTATATTTGGGAACCAGTTCCGTTTTAGGGCTATTTATAGCTGCTACTAACCCTCCTGAAGAGATGAAGCTCAAGAACGCTTTTATGAAGTATAAATGATGAAAACGAGTGTTTATTTAACACTTAAATGAATGTTGAATGACAGTGAAACCGTCCCAAAGTTAAGTATCTGAACTGATAACTGTTATAAAACGAGTTTAGACTACTCAATGAAGCTACAGGTTTAATATGGATTTTCCAGCTCAGTTTGCATGGATGTAAGCCCCCGTTTAAAGTGATAGCTCACCCAAAATGAAAGTTCTGTCTTTTACTCAAGTTTAAATGCATTTTTTTATTTATTCATTTATTTATTTTTGAACACAAAGATATTTCGAGGAAAGCTTGAACCATTAGCTTCCATAGTTTTTCCTCATCCTAATATGATTTTTGATTTTATTAAAACTTTCTCACCATTTAAAAAATATTAATATTACAAAGGTACACTTTACTCAAGCTGTTTTCTAACTATTAGTTCTCCATTTTAACAGAGCACAACATATCTTTATAAATCCACACATTTTCTAAATCTGACATTCTTATAAAAAAAAAATCAAACTTGACTGTCACTTTAATTAAACTCTTGGCAACCTTCACCTTCTATCCTTTCTTTTCTTGTTATGTAAATTGCCGTTTTGGCTTTTTTTTACAACAAAATTTATAATTAGTTTTTGTCATTCTTTTCTTTTCTGCAAATTTGAACCCAGAAATGAAATCATCCTACTATGGAAGTCAATGCTCACAGGTTTTCAACTTTATTTAGAGTTCATCTTTTGTGTTCAACAACAAATAAAACAACTAATAAATCTCTGAAACCTCACTCAAGGTGAGTTAATAGTGAGTTTGTATAGGCTGGGAGCTTTTATATGACAACCTAATACTAATGCTTAATGTTATGTTCTGAAATGTTATTCATGCGTATATACACAGTTAAATTTGAAGATTATTTTTATATATTTTTTTATATTTCCCAAATGATGTTTAACAGAGCAAGGAAACTTTCACAGTATTTCCTATAATATTTTTTTTTTCTGGAGAAAGTCTTATTTGTTTTATTCCGACTAGAATAAAAGCAGTTTTAATTTTTTAAACACCATTTTAAGGACAGAATTATTCACCATTTAAGCTATTTTTTTCCGATAGTCTACAGAACAAACCATCGATATACAATAAGTTAACCTAATTAACCTAGTTAAGCATTTAAATGTCACTTTAAGCTGTATAGAAGTGTCTTGAAGAATATCTAGTCTAATATTATTTACTGCCATCATGGCAAAGATAAAATAAATCAGTTATTAGAGATGAGTTATTAAAACTATTATGTTTAGAAATGTGCTGAAAAAAATGCTCTCTGTTAAATAGAAATTGGGGGGAAATAAACAGAGGGGCTAATAATTCAGAGTTCAACTGTATTTAATTAATATAATCATAAATTAAGCATAATTTTTAATATCGTTGCACTAATTTTGACCATCTTTTCCTGTGACATGTACTTTACTCTTCTACCTGCTCCCTCCTATTAACAAAGAGAGAGAGAGAGAGAGGCTAGATCCAACCCACTGTATTCCCTCAGCATTAATATCTGGGCTTTTGGTTACAACGCCTGTAGCTATATGGAGATGAGGGATAGCTTCATATGCCAAACGTCTTAAGTCTTTTTTTTTCTTTCAATGGAATCTGTAATGTATCATCCTGCTTGTGTATTAAATGAACATTAGTGCTCAGGGCTTGGTGGCAACACCCTGGAAAATTCTGCCGCCCGCCTGGAGCCCATCGCCTCCAGCGCTGAAACAGAGCGAAGCCTTTAACAACCGCCTTCTGTTTACCATGTATGGTTAAAATAACTGGCGCACAAATGAGCCACTGCATGGAGGAACTTGTCGTTGAAATCCCTTTGAACTCCAGGTTCACAATGGAGCCGTTCTTTCTTATGACAACTGGAATATGTGCAGTCGTATTTCCATGAAGCATATGTGGCCCTGCGTGATCTCCGGGCGTTGTGAGGTAAAGTTTTGACTTGCATAAACAAGCCTTTGGGATTGGGCAGAGTAATAAAAGACCATCTTAAGAAACGCAGATGGTAGATTTATGTGTGAATGCTTAATTCGGATTCAGAGATTTGTGCATTGCTGCTTATGGGAGTTGTTCATGCGTGTCAAATGCATGTTAGAATTGATTGACATGCGTTTGTTTATGCATTCATGCATTATTGTCTTGGTGAAGTTTGCATAATCTAACATAAATGCTTGCCTTTGTGATGGTTATACGTTTTATTTTGACATGTTTAGGCATGAATGTGAGCTTGTGTGATATTTTACTAATGACAAAGACCTGATTAAGATGCTTGATCTCTGTCTTAAAGCAAGATTCAGGAAGAAAGTGAAGCGGATTTGTGTTGGTGTGTGTGTGAACAGTTGGATTTGATGGAGGATATTTTTGCATAAGTAAAGCTTTATGTTGAGTATTTGCTCCAATACTTTAGTATAATTAACACCTTAAAATGGAGAGTTTATAAAGTAATTTGTGTGTGTGTGAACATGTTTTGATTCAGATTCGGAGGTTTGTGCATTGCTCCACACACGGTCTGTGGGTTTATTTCGAGCATTTGCACTATAAGTAAAGAAAAAAACAATCTTAAAATTAAAAATGTGCAGAAAAGTAGAGCAGAGTTCAGGTTTCTGTATGAAAAGACCATCTTAAATTGAACGCAGATTAGAGCAGAGTTCAGTTTTCTGTGTGAATGCTTTTTGATCCAAATTCAGAGGTTTGTGCTTTGCTTTGCATACAGTCTGTTGATTTATTTTATTCATTTTATTGTATGTAAACAAAAATACTATCCTAAAATTAAAAATAAGCAGATAAGTAAAGTAAAGCAGAGTTCAGGTTTCTGTGTGAATGCTTTCTGATTCAAATTCAAAGATGTGTGCATTGCTTTTCATACTGTCCGTAAATATATAATCTGTGCAATTGCACTTAAGTTATAAACTGCATGCCCAAATGCCACACCAAACATTTACGTTGACATGCATTTGTTTAGAATACCATGCAAATATCCTCCAGAACTACTCTGAGAAGTGCGAGAACTCAAATTGCTCAAAAAATGCATTAATTATTGTGAGTCTCGCTGTGTAAGTCGAGCGATCATAAACCTCACAAAAAAAAAACTCACTAAAATTCAGATTTGTGTATTGCTTCTCATATGGACTTATTTGAATAATTTCACTGTAACTTAAAAAGACAATCCTAAAATTAAAATGTGCAGAAAAGTAGAGCAGATTTCAGGTTTTCGTATGAAAAGACCATCTTAAATTGAATGCAAAGTAGAGCAGAGTTTCTGTGTGAATGCTTTTTGATTCAAATTCAGAGATTTGTGCATTGCTTCTTAGAGTCTGTGAATATAATCTGCAATTGCACTTAAGTTATAAAATACATGCCAAAACTGTACACAAATGGCATGCATTCATTTAGAATACCATGCAAACATTCTCCAGAACTGCTCTGAGAAGTTAAAGAATCCAAATTGCTCCAAAAAGTGCATTAATGATTGTGAACCTCACAGTGTAAGTCGAGTGATCATAAACCTCACTAAAATTCAGAGATTTGTGCATTGCATGTCATATAAGGATTTATTTGAACCTTTTCACTTGCAAGTAAAAAAGACTACCTGGAAGTTAAAAAAAAGCAGAAAAGTAGAGTAGAGCAGATGTCAAGTTTATGTGTGAATGCAGTTCAGTTTCAGAGATTTGTGCAGTGCTTCTAAAATCTTTCCAGTTACACTTGTAAGTTATAAAATGCATGCTAAAACTGCACACCAAACCTTTACATTTATTTAGAATATCATGCAAATGCTGTCCAGAACTACCATCAATCAACATTGCTCCCAAAAAAGTGCATTATTGTGATTCTGACAGTGTGTACAGTAAATGAGGGGATCGTGAGTCTCACTACTAAATCTCACTGGTTTGAAGGTCTGTGCATTGCTTTTCTTCAAGTCTATATGAATTTCATCTGACCATTTGCTCTAGTAAGTGTAAAATGCTTGCCAAAACCTTTACATTGGTGTGCATTTATTTAGAATATCATGCATACGTTTTCCAGGATCCTCATGAGAAGTAGTACAATGCAAAAAAAATGCTTTTCCTACTTAGATTTTTTATTTATTTTTTGTCTTGTTTTTAGTCCAAATATCTAAAAATCAAAGAATCAAATCAAAAAGCATTTCCTGGAAAAGCGAAACATATTGTCTTGTTTAAGAAATAATATGTCAAGATTAAGTGAATCTTTCCTTAAAACAAGTGAAATAATTTTACGTCAAAAGGAAAAACAAGATTGTTTTTGCCGAGTACTTACCTTTTTTTATGAGAAGTGAGGAAAAACTCACTTCATTTTGACGCATTATTTCTTAAAACAAGACATTTTTTTGCGTATCAAGAAAATGTTTCTTGATTTTTAAAGTTCTGTGATATTTGGACTGGAAACGAGACAAGATCTAAGTAAAAGTATTTTTTGCAGTATAAGTGTAAAATGCATTCCAAAACGAGATGAGAGCAACTTGAGAATAAGTGCATTAATTATTGTGAGACTCACAGTGTAAGAAGAGTGATAAGCCTCAATAAAATTTGGAGATTTGTGCATGGCTTTTCTTAACGTCTATGAATCGAATCTGAGTATTTGCAACAGTAAGTGTAAAATGCATGCCAAAACTGCACACCAAACCCTTACGTGGGGATAGATTTAATTAGAATATCATGCAAACCTTCTCCAGGACCACCAGAAGAGCAATTTTAAGATGAAATGCATTAATGATTGTGAGTCTGGCAGTGTTGAAGTGTAAAGTTATCATGAACCTCACTAAAATAGATTGGTGTATTACTTTTCTTAAAGTCTGAGCTTTTGCAGTTGCAAGTGTGCAATGCATGAAAAAAAGTCACACCAAACTTTTAAACTAGCATGCATTTAATTAGAAGATCATGCAAACTTTCTCCAGGACCACTATAAGTGCAGGAATGTTAAAAGAGATGAGCGTAATTTAAGATTAAGTGCATTGCTTTTCATAAAGTCTATGAATTTAATCTGAGCAGTTGCACTAGTAAGTGTAAGTGTAGCACAGCAAACCTTTACACCAACATGCATTCAATTAGAATATCATGTTAACTTTCTCCAGGATCACCACAAGAGCAATTTTAAGATGAAATTCATTAATGATTGTGAGTCTGCCAGTGTATAAGTGTGGAGTGATCATGAACATCACTCAAATTTGGAGATTTGTGCATTGCTTTTCTTAAAGTCTATGAATTTAATCTGAGCAGTTGCACTAGTAAGTGTAAAATGCATGCCAAAATGGCACAGCAAACCTTTACGTGGGGATGCATTCAATTAGTATATCATGCATACTTTCTCCAGGACCACCTGGAGAGTAATTTTAGGATGAAATGCATTAATGATTGTGAGTCTGGCAGTGTAGAAGTGTGGAGTGATCATGAACCTCACTTAAATTTGGAGATTTGTGCATGGCTTTTCTTAAAGTCTATGAATTTAATCTGAGCATTTGCTTGTGTAAGTGTAAAATCCATGCCAAAACTGCAGACTAAACCTTTAAACCAGCATGCATTCAATAAGAATATCATGCAAATCTTCTCCAGGACCACAATAAGTGCAAGGATGTAAAAAAAATGAGCGTAATTTAAGATTAATTGCATTACTTTTCATAAAGTCTGTGAATTTAATCTGAGCATTTGCTCGAGTAAGTGTTAAATGCATGCCAAAATTTCAGACCATACCTTTAGACCTGCATGCATTTAATTAGAATATCATGCAAACCTTCTCCAGGACCACAATAAGAAGCAAGAATGTTAAAAAAAAATTCATAGTTTAAGTTTAAATGCATTGCTTTTCTGAAAATCCATGAATTTAATCTGAGCATTTGCTCGAGTAAGAGTAAAATGCATGCTAAAAACAGCTCAGCAAACCTTTAAACCAGCATGCATTTAATTAGAATATCATGCAAACTTTCTTTAGGACCACCATGAGATGTGCAAGAATCCAAAAAGACATGAGAGTATTAAAGATTAAGTGCATTGCTTTTCTTAAAGTCTACGAGTTTACTCTGTGCATTTGCTCGAGTAAGTGTAAAATGCATGCCTAAATTTCAGACCAAACATTTCCATAGGCATCCATTTAATTAGAATATCATGCAAACTTCACCACGAGAGTCATTTTAAGAGTGTAAATGGAGTGATGGTGAACCTCACTAACACCGTAGTTCAGAAGTGATGCCTGGTGTTTGACGTGAACGCGCACAATGCCCTCGTTTCCCAAATGTTCAGATTGGTTGCTGAAGTGTCGGAGGATATCACGTCTAGCACATAACACGACCTTTAATTAGAAACTTGCCGTTTTTTTATTCCCCCCCCTCTCCTTCCCCATCCCCGCGGGCGAACACCTCGCTTATATCTCTCTCTCTCTCTCTCTCGCTCGCTCTCTCTCTGCAGCGTTAATAAACATCCTTGTATCCTACCCTCGGGCTGCACCAGTGAAAAGATGCAAACATACTTCATTAGAGCCGTGGCAATAATTTGTAAGCTAAATACGCGATGGGGCAGATGAGAAAAGGATCTGATAAAGAGTCGCGCAGACGCTCAAGGTGGGAGAGACGCTGAACGCAGCGTGAAGGCAGCGGCAGCATCATTTTTCTCCATGGCTTTCCCGTTTGTCTGCTTCCAGGAAGGGAGAAGCATGTCGCGCCTGTCTCTGACCCGGTCTCCGGTCTCTCCTCTGGCCGCGCAGGGGATTCCTCTGCCGGCGCAGCTCACCAAAGCCAACGCGCCCGTGCACATCGACGTGGGCGGACACATGTACACCAGCAGCCTGGCCACGCTCACCAAATACCCAGACTCACGGTAAGACCTCTCACCTCACTCTCTCTCTTGCTCTCTCTCTGTGCGTGTGTGTGCTGTTACGTAAAAGTGTGCACTCAGCAATGCATTCAGAAAGTTGTGTGTATTTATGTGCATTATGACTTGTGTGTGTGTGTGTGTGTTGTGCATTTATTTGCATTCTAGAAAACGTTTCTGTTTTAAGCTTAAACCCTTAAATAGTGGGAGGTTTTTATTTCAGTATAAACTCTTTCAACTAAGTCTCACTACACTTATGTGCTGTTTGTACAGACTACTTATTTAAAATGAGCTGAAACAAAACATTTCTTGTGTGTGTGTTTTTTTTTTTTTTAAACAACTTAATTGTTTGTTGTTCAGTCCACTTAAATTGGTGAAACTTACTAAGTTAACTTGAACCTTCAGGTTGTCCCAACACAAATTGTCACCTTATGCTGAGTTCAGACTGCATGATTTTCAGAGTAGTCGTGTCACAGATGTTTTCACACCGCTTGACTCTCTGGGCTTGCGTTTGGTCGCTGCTTTGTTTACACTGCAAGATGGATCGCCGACAGGGACATTCACATTGCATGACTTTACTATAGGAAGAATCGCCGACTACTTCGTGTTTTTGGCTGTGAGACGTAGTTTGGACGTCGTATATCTTTTGTTATTAACTACATAATGAGAAAGAAGCCTTTAATGGGGTAGAACATGTACATGTTTGCTCACCTGGGTTTGAAGGGAATTAGCCATTTCTCCTCAACGTTGATAATAAAATAAGTTCTTTCTGTATGAAACGTCAAACAGACACGGTTGCTCCTGAGTCCTGTCAAACCTCCACTAGTTTTTCCTCCATTTCGTGGGTCCAAATAAACCGAAAAAGAGCGCTTTACTTCTCCCCCAGCCTCCCGCTGGCCTGCAGCAGGTATACGCACACGCACACACAAGTGAAAGCTGCTCTCTCATTGGCTGTAGGCGATCGCTGATGTTATTTTCAGTCAAAACTCAATTCACACGGCGTGATTTGAATCGCCGACAGCTCCAGATATTCAGCACGCCAAATATCTCACAGGCATCGGCGACTCATCTGCGATTCTTTCAGATCGCGTCTTTGATAGTTCATACTGTGTGATTGTCACTCACGTGCACGAGCAGCGATTTGCCTGTGATTTCAGGCATTTGTCGGCGATTTCTCAAAACCTGTCGGCGAGCTAAAATCACGCAGTCTGAACTCGGCATTAGAATTATAAGGTTGAGCAATTCCAGCGTGGATGTGACATTTGCAGTAAAAACTCAAAACATAAATTCACATAGAGTATATGTTAACATTATGTTGAAACGTTGGTTTATATTTTCCAGAACAACTGACCACGGAGTTAAGGAACCAGAAAAATATCCATCTGTAGACATGTTTTGTATTTTAAATGTGGAAAATAAACTTGCGTTATGGATGTGACAAAAAAAGCCTGCCGGTTTACAGTACACAACACACTTTGTAGAAATTCTGTGTATTAAACTGCACAACCCAAAAGAAACAATAATAATCAAAAGGATAAGAGTCGGCTCACTATAAAACAACAATGATTGGGTTTATTTTATTTAATATTTTCACATTTATGAGGAAAAGATGTCGTTATGGATGTGACATGTCTCCGTTATGGATGTGATGGATGTGAAATTGCCACTTGTGTGACTTTGGTTGATCAAATAGAATAGTTTGAAAACACTGACAGATGCATTTTTGAGTATTTCTAAAGTCCTGTAAAATACTTGCTCACCCAAAAAACCCAGAAACTGTTTCCTGTTTTTTGGTGAAAACTTAATTTTTTTTATGGCAAGGTTGACTTTGCACGGAATTGCTCGGTTCTGTCTGACATTTTTGTCTAAATTGAGTTATTCACATATTCTTATTAAATGACATCTTATTTACATTATGTGATGTTCTTGTTTAAGATGTTTACATTTTAGAGTGCTTTCACACCTGTGAATCGATTCAGTTGTTCCGAAACAGAGATTAAAATTGTTACAGTGTTGCTCTTTGCTCTTGGAGCGGTTCACTTTCACACTGCAAAGTTTCTAATCGGACCAAAAGAGCTAAAACAAGTCACGTGCGAGTAAACTCTCCTCACATTGGTCAGAGTGTCAGGGTTTATTTTGCAGAGTCCCGCTCAGCTGTCAGGAGAGGTGGTGGTTTGGTGGTGATTGACAGGGAGCGCGCGACGTGTCTGAGGAGAGATGCGGTGGGGAGGGGTGAGAAGGGTGCGCGACGATGCCTATTTGAGGACCGGGAGGGAGATGCGAGATTACCGGGAGATCATCACTTGTTTGCGGGCATCCGGAGACTCGCGAAACTTCCCGCCCTACTCATAATTCTCTCTTCATATAGCCGTAAGCCTATTACATATCCATAAACACTGTGACATAACCGCGCTCGGATCAGATCGCTTTCTCACTGCAATCGAACCGCTCCAGGGTTCGTTTCAATCGAGCCGAGACCACCTCATTCAAGCGATCTCGGAGCGATTACTTTGGCGCAGAACAGAGCGCGATTGCCCTGTTCACATATGCCAAACGAACCGCGCTAACTGGGCAAACGAGACACGTTCCCAAACAAAAGTGTAGGTGTGAAAGCACCCTAAGACTTTTTATTTAAAAAACAAACATGGTTTATCTACAAAGCTGAACTCTAGCTTGGCTCTATGCAGTTCTTTCTGTGAGCCAATCAGCATTTTTAATGCACCCACGAGGACCAATTAGGATCAGATTTCTTGGCCATTTCACCAACCTGCTCTGTTGACAGCAGGAAAGACCAGAAAGAAACACAAAATCAGAGTCGACTAAATGATGCTGCCACACCACACAAACTTGAGATGTGTGTAAATGTGATGATTTAGAAGCATTTTTGGACATTGAGATGAAATGTTACGTTTTACATTGTTGAAAAAGAAACTAATATTAAATAAAATCTATATTAAATGTGAAATATTTATTGTATATAAGTATATATAACATTTATTTGTGTATATATGGTAGGTCAAACGTTTTTCAGGGTTTACTGAACTCATTTGCTCATTGTCTGTTTTCTTTTAAAGTGTTTAAATTTGATATTAAAGGGCAAATACTTTATTTATGGGGCATATAATTCAGTAATTAATATAAAGCATAAAATATTGTGAATAATAACATATTAATTAGATAAAATTAACATCTTCACTGCACACTATATTTAGCACAGCCTTGTGTGTGTCATTTAAACCAGAAAAAATATTAATCCTGAAACATGAAATAAATGTTAGAGTAAGCAAAAACTCAACTTTCTCAAGCATCAGCATATTGTTACAACACAAAATTATACATTTTTTAATTGTATTTCTTGAAAAGTAATGCTATATAACCTTTTAATTCCAAGAGGAAAATGACTCTTCAGAATGAGAAGGATCTATCTGCATTTACTGTGTTTTTTTACTCCAATTTGCAAATGTAAGAGAACTTTGATAGTTTACATTTAGAGTGTTTTTAGGGTCTCTGTCATGTTAATGTATGAAAGGGAACTGTTATTGTTTACTATATGGAATGCAAAAACTTTGAAGCTCAATATCTCAAAATCATTTCGAGCGCAGACAGAAACTTAGAATTTCAAGGTGACGAAATGTGGAAGACTTGAATGCTGTGCATTGATTGTTTCAAGCTTAAACCCTTAAATAGTGGTGCATGTTTTTTTTCAGTACATATATTCATTAGTTTGTGCTAAGTCTCACTATTAACTAGTGGCTTGCTTATTATTAAGTTATCAGATGTTACCTCATAACTTAACCCAACTACTACACTGTAAAGCAAATGCTGTGTTCCACACAGCTGGTTTGTGTTGAGGAATTAAGTTAACTGATTCGTTTTGACAAATTGAGGTGGATTGAACATAAAATAATTTAGTTGTCCCCCCCCAAAAAAAACCTCAAGTATTGTGTTGTTTCAGCTCAATTTAAATAAGTGGTTTTAACACACAGCATTTAGTTTTTTTGTTTGCGTGCAGAAGACATTATAGTGTGCTTTTAAGTTTAAGTAAGTTTTTATTTTGGAGCAACGTAATTGTTTTATGTTCAGTTAAATTTGTAAACTTATGGTAATTGAATTGCTTCATGTTGTCTTAACAAATGTAGAATAACGTGAATGGTGTGCGTTGATTTTTTTAAGTTTAAAACCTTCAATAGTGTTATGATGTTTTTTTTCCGGTATATACTCAAAACACTCTTTAGTTTAAGTAGTAATTCTCACTATTAATAGTGGCTTGCTTATTATTAGGATATCAGATGTTTATTAGTACTTGGATTTTATTCTACATCAATTATCCTACCTAATACCTTAACCCAACTACACTGTAAAATGCTGAGTTCCATTCAGCTGATTTGTGTTGGGACAACGTGAAGGAATTAAGTTAATTTATTTGTTTTGACCGATTTATGTGAATTGAACATATAATAATTTATTTAATTGTAGTTATCCCTCCGAAAAACTCAAGCAGTGTGTTGTTTCAGCCAATTTTAAATAAGTAGTTTGAACAAACAGCATTTTATTAGCGTGTAGAAGACATGAATAGTGTGTATTGATTATGTTTTTAGCTTATGTTTATTTACCCACAACACAACTCTTAATTTTTTTTTTTTTTTTTTTTTTTGTGGAACAGCTTAATTGTTTTATGATCAATTTAATTTGTAACTGCGCCAATTTAATAACCTAATGTTGTCTCAATACAAATGTGGAAAATCATTAAGGGTGTACATTGATTGTTTTAAGATTAAACCATTAAATTTAGAGATTTTAGTGTGATATATTCAGATAACTCTTTAGTTTAAGTACTACTTCTCACTATTAACTATAGTAGCTTGATTATTATTAGGATATCAGATGTTTAATAGTACTTAGATTTTATTCTGCATCAACAATCCTGCCTAATACCTTAACCCAACTACTACACTGTAAAATGCTGAGTTCCACACAGTTGATTTGTGTTGGGACAACATGAAGAAATTAAGTTAACTTATTTGTTTGACCAATATAAGTGGATTGAACATAAAACAATGTAGTTGTTCTCCTGAAAACCTCAAGTGTTGTGTTGTTTCTGCTTAATTTAAATAAGTAGTTTGAACAAACAGCATTTTTTGTGTGTAAAAGACATGGATGATGTACATGCACTCAGACATAAAGTTACGCATTTGTATTTAAAGGGTCCATATTGGTGCCCCAGAAGTATATATTATTACCTAAAAATTTGAAGGGGAACACTTTTGTACTTTTTAGGTACTAATATGTACCCTTGAGGTATTAATATGAACCTTTATAGGTACAAATTTGTACCTTTTCAAAAGGTATTGCCCCAGTGACAGCTTACATACCTTTATTTCTGAGAGTGTGATGATGTTTTTAGCTTATTATGTTTATTTACCCACAACAAAACTCTTATTTTTTGGAACAATTTAATTGTTTTATGTTCAATAAAATCTGCAAACTTAAGTTAACTGAACTCCTTGTATTCCTTGTATAAATCATTGTATTGATTGTTTCAAGCTTAAACTCTTAAATAGTGTTTTTTATTTCAGTAAATATACATTACTCTTTATTTAAAGTAATAATTCTTACTATTAACTAGTGGCTTTCTTTTTATTAAGATATTAGATGTGTATTCATGTTTAGATGTTCTGCATGATTTTATCCTACATCAGTAATCCTACCTAAGACCTTAACCCAACTACTACACTGTAAAGAATGCTGGGTTCCTCATAGTTGATTTGTGTTGGGACAACATGAAGGAATTCAGTTAATTTGTTTGTTTTGACTAATTTAATTAGATTGAACATAAAATAACTTGGTTGTCCTCCCAAAAAACTCAAGCATTTTGTTTCAGCTCAATTTAAATAAGTGATTTGAACAAACTGCATTTGTTTTTGCGTGTAAAAGACATGAATGATGTGCATTGATTGTTTTTAGCTGATTGTTTATTTAATCAAGTTTTTGTAGTTTTTTTTAAACAGCTTAATTGTTTTAAGTTTAATTAATTTGAACTTAATTTAATTGTTTCATGTTGTTCCAAAACAGATGTATTGACTGTTTTAAGCTTAAACCCTTAAATACTGGCGGGGTGTTTTTTCAGTATATATTCGCATAACTTTTTAGTTTATGTAATACTTCTCACTATTAACTATTATTATTTAGCAAGCCACGAGCAGAATTATTAAAATTAAGTCAACTTAACAGTTCCAAATTACAGTGGGTTTACTTTATTTTTAAGTCATCATGGTACTTTTAAGTCAATAGGTTTACTCACTTTAATCAACTAATCACTTTAATTTTTGCTGCTTTTTCAAACCACTTATTTAAAATGAGCTGAATCAACACAATTCTTGAGCTATTTGGGAGACAGCTTAATTCTTATGTTCAGTCAACTTAAATTTGTAGAAAAATAACTATCTAAATATATATAAATTAACTTAATTGATTTGTGTTGGGACAACATGTAGGAATTGTGTAGAATCCAGCGTTTATCATAGTGTATTAACTAGTGGCAAGCCTATTTATTTATTTATTTATTCTGATTTCTGATTGGAGAGAGAGAATAGTATTGCAATTTATTGCATTTGATCTGATAATAAAAAGCTTTTTAAGTGTTTGTACTGAGATGTTCAGTCTGCTGAGTGTGATCTTCAGCTGATGGGTTGCATTTTCAGTGGTGCAGTTTGTGCAGACTAATTTTGGCATGATTTATTGTAGTTTCTGTTTCGCATTTTTATGTTGCTATGAAGTGTTCAGTTCTTCGATTTGTTTGTTCATTTTAAGATTGCATTAGAAACATAATTTATGTTTTTATACCTCTGAACTATGCATTTCGAGTGTATTTTAATTAGAATTGTGTGTGATTTCGTTTATTTATATTGCACATTTACATTACCATGGGAATTAAAAGTACTTTGTTAAATAAGAATTAATAGGATAAAATAATCCCAAACTAAGTATAAGTAATTAAAGTTGATAAAACGATTTATTAAAACTTAATGGTTGATAAATTAAATTAAATTAAATTAAATTAAATTAAATTAAATTAAATTAAATTAAATTAAATTAAATTAAATTAAATTAAATTAGGGAAATAGCACAGCTAAACAAATGTATTTTTAGTGATTTTTCTTTGTTTTTTTGCTTTTTGTTTAAAATGAGAATTAATAAGAGAATAATTACAAACTAAGTATAACAAATAAAAATAATTTCAAATATTAAAACAGGTTTAAAATTTTTCTTTTTCTTTTTCTTTTTCAATGAGAATAATATAGAATAATCACAAGCTAAGTGTAACAAAAAACGTAACTAAAATTATTAAAACATGTTATTAAAATGGATAAGTTTTATTAATGAATTTAATTTAATTTAAACAAATGTGTTTTTGGTGATTGTTTTGTTTCACAATACAATATTTATTTAGAAAACATTTAAAAACAACCAAGGCTGACCAGAGTGCTGTATATACAGCAGGAGTACTAAAGACAGAGAAGAAACCAGAATATAAAACAAACATTTAACAAAAGGAGTATCAAAAGCACAAGAAAATAGACAGGTCTTTAAAACAGCCTTAAACACAGAAATGGAGGGCGAAAGTCTAATGTGAGTTGTTGTTAAAGTGTTCGAGCGTTTGCTGTTGCTGGTCCTAAACTCTGGATCACCTCGTTTTTAAGGCCTGTTCTGGGCACGGTGAATAAATTGAGATCATAAGATCTCAATGATTGAGAGGGGGTATACGGACAGAGCAAGTCAGGAAGCTACCGAGGTGCAAGATTATTGACGGCTTTGTAAACAATTAATAACATTTTTAGATCAATTCTGTATTTAATGGGTAACCAGTGAAGTGCAGTTAAAATTGGAGTCACCAACTCATACTTGCGGGTGGCAGAGAGTATCCAGCAGCTGTATTTTGTACCAGCTGCAGACGAGAGGGAGAAAGTTTCTCTGGGATAAAGATGGCTTGACTTTCGACAGTCATCTGAGGTGGTAAAAGCAGGATTATATGACAGTACTGATCTGTTTGTCAAATTTAAGTTTTCATCAAACATAACACTGAGATTTCTTGCACACTGGGTAATATGTGGGGCCAAAGATCCCATGTTGACATTTAACAGAGAATTTACTTCGTGCCCAAATACAATTCCTTCAGTTTTATTTGAGTTTTTCCAGCATTTAACAGTGTTGTTTAATCATTTCAAGCCATGCAAACATGAAAAGTTGTGCATGAAATACACCTTTTTAATAAGTTGTGGTCTCCAAAAACTGATTTCAATGTTACTAATGATCAGAAATGTTTCTTGATCATCAAATCAGCATGTTAGACAAATTTCTGAATAAATATGTGACGTTAAATCTGCAGTAATTAAGCTAAAATAATTTGCCTTTTTAACAAGTGGAATAAATTACATTTTACAATATATCCACTTCAAAACGAGCAATATTGATTAATAAAATTATTTCACAATTTACTATGTTTTTAATTAAATACATTCATTATTCGTAGTTTATATCTAATGCAATAATTCATTCGTTCATTTTCCTTCGGCTTAGTCTATTTCTAAGGTCGCCACAGCGGAATGAACCGCCAACTATTCTAGCATATGTTTTTGATTTTTTTTTTTTTACAGTGGATGCCCTTCCAGCCGCAACCCAGTATTGGAAAACACCCATACACACTCACAATTATGCACAATCATACACTACGACCAATTTAGTTCATCAGTTCCCCTATAGCGCATGTGTTTGGACTGTGGGGGAAACCGGAGCACCCGGAGGAAACCCACGTCGACATGGGGAGAACATGCAAACTCCACACAGAAATGCCAACTGACACAGCTGGAACTCGAACCAGCAAACTTCTTGCTGTGAGGTGACTGTGCTAACCACTGAGCCACCATGCTGCCGCTAATGCAATAATATCACATCTTAAGCGTTAAGAAATGCCATTCAGAGTGACTTCCAGCATTGAATGCAGGCTTTTATTAGTCAACAAAAGACTGACCATCCGCACACGTTAACACCTACTTTCACTAATCACTCTGACAAGTGGGAAAGCAAACACACACACACACACACACACTCTCTCTCCCAGCGCTTCCAGCTGACAGCTAAGAGAGTCCAGTTAAAGAAGCTTAAGCTGATGGTGTCTTTTAATAGATTGATCTCTTAATAATGCAGAGCGGGAAGAGAAACTCGCTCTATAACTAATGTGTGAACATTCATCTCCCCGCAGCTCAGTCTGCTCAACTGACAGGACATATGAAAGTTTCATGCTCATTCTGTGCGCTTTTCTGACAGAGATCAGCACTTGTGAACAGGAGCTAATGATCCTGGGCAGTGTTTTCAGGAGTATTGCAGTACAAGTGACATGACTGACCTAATAATACAGCTTTTTAAGTAGCAAGTAAAGTAATTTGTCACTTTAAAACATGAAGTAACAATGTTTGAGTTGAAAAATCCAACGCGAGTTGCTTTGAGTTTGATTAATAAATTGCTGGATTATAATTAGCATAGTCGTAATGAATCACGCACTCAACGATAGGCCTGTCACCATGTCTATATTTTGTATTATGATATATTGCACCAAAATATATTGCGATAAACGTTATTATTGTCATTTTAAGACCATTTTAGATGCATTATATAATGCCGGAATAATAAAATAATATCATCATAAGGCAAGTGCACTCTTACAAAGAACACATCGTATTTTATTCTTAAGAATGTTTTTATGGAACAAAATCAATGCCAAAAGTATTGAATTAAAAAGCTTGTTGAATTGCACAAACTGCAAAAAATAATACACCGTGTTAACAAGTTCTTGCATTTTAATGACTTGAATTGCAGGGTGGGTCGAGGCAGGGGCGCAGTAGGTAGTGCTGTCGCCTCACAGCAAGAAGGTCGCTGGGTCGCTGGTTCGAACCTCGGCTCAGTTGGCGTTTCTGTGTGGAGTTTGCATGTTTTCCCTGCCTTTGCATGGGTTTCCTCCCGGGTGCTCCGGTTTCACTCACAGTCCAAAGACATGCGGTACAGGTGAATTGGGTAGGCTAAATTGTCCGTAGTGTATGAGTGTGTGTGTATGTTTGTGTGGATGTTTCCCAGAGATGGGTTGCGGCTGGAAGGGCATCCGCTGCGACCCCTGATGAATAAAGAGACCAAAGCCGAAAACAAAATAAATGAATGAACATTTAATTTATATTTATTTATTTGTTTTATTTATTTTTAAATAAACAATAATGACTGATTGAATATATATTAAATATAATGCTTATTTTTCTTATTCGAGAAATTATTTCAAGCTGAAATTATTCAAAAATATTTATAAAAAATCTAAAATAATAATTGTTTATATATATATATATATATATATATATATATATATATATATATATATATATATATATATATATATATATATTGAATATAAAGATTTTTTTCTACAGAAATTATTTCAGTCTGAAATTATTAAAAAATATTTATTTTATAAAAATATAAAATAATGTTAATGATTAAATATACATTGAATATAAAGTTTTATTTATTTATCTATTTATTTTAGAAAGTGGGGCAGTAGGTAGCAAGAAGGTCGCTGGGTCGCTGGGTCGATCCTCGGCTCAGTTGGCGTTTCTTTGTGGAGTTTGCATGTTCTCCCTGCATTCGCGTGGGTTTCCTCTGGGTGTTCCGGTTTCCCCCACAGTCCAAAGACATGCGGTACAGGTGAATTGGGTAAGCTAAATTGTCCGTAGTGTGTGAATGAGTGTGTGTGGATGTTTCCCAGGATGGGTTGCGGCTGAAAGGGCATCCGCTGCGTAAAAACGTGCTGGATAAGTTGGCGGTTCATTCCGCTGTGACCCCGGATTAATAAAGAGATTAAGCCAACAAAAAAATGAATGAATTATTTTAGAAATTAAGTCTGAAAATATTCAAAACTATTTATTTAAAACAAATAAAAATTTGTGATTATTATTAAATACGTCTCTCTCTTAAGACTCAGTTTTAGCAAAGGTTTGTCTCTCAATATTATAAAGCTATCATAACAATAACAGTAGTGTGTTTACTGCTCTGAATGAGACTGACAAGAGTGTGTGTGTGTGTGTGTGAGAGAGAGAGAGAGAGAGAGAGACGGGTGGGGGAGACGAGGAAGAAAAGAAAAACAGGCAGCATTTTAATTGCTTTTTAAAAAAAGTGCAGATGAAAAACAGCGTTTGCCTGCAGGCGCATGGTGAAATTCTAGCTGGAAGAATTGCAAGACCATATGAGAAAGGACGACCGCAGGCGCTACAGGGAGATGAGTATTGGTTTTTTATAAAGCATTTTGCATCGATTTCCAAAGGGGGGAAAAAGAGGGAGCGACCGAGAGGAAAAACAAGAGCTTTAGAAAGTGCAGAAGGTGAAGACGGCCCGGTTTGTGTTTTCAACAAACAAAAAGGAAAATATTTGAGCCTTTTAAGTTATTGATGCATATGTTTATTATTGCATCTTTAAATCATTTCTTCATATTCTTGAAAGTCGGATGGAGAAGAGCGCATGCATGACATTGTGCTTTATAATTCCTTTTTTTTAGGGGTTTTTCACTTTTTATTGAGATGAGATAAGATGGTGAAGGACAGACAGGAATGTATAGGGAGCAGAGAGAGGGGAAGGATTAGCGTAGGACCTCGACCCGGTAGTCGAACTCTGGTCAATGTGAGCACTATGGTGCGATATGGCTATTGGCGCAGACGACATTGTGCTTTAAATGAGGAGAAAAATACTGATTAATTAATATGAGCATCTGGTAGAGCTCGCTGAACTGTGTTTGTAAATCTAAAGATACAGGAATAGTTCTGTTGTTTCTCTCATTAAGACGTCTTCAAACAGAGAAAGAACATTTTAAAAAGACAATATTTTAGCCTTTTAAGTTATTCCTGCATATGTTATTGTATTATTCTTATTGCATCTTTAAATAATTTCTTCAAATTCTTGAAAGTGCAGAAGGTGAGGAAAAGCTGTGAATGACACTTTTTTTATTTCAGTTTGATTATCATTGTTTGATTAAGTCCATATTAAATGTAATGTCTTTTAATTATCATTTCAGAAATTATTTTAGTCTGAAATCATTCAAATATATATATATATATATATATATATATATATATATATATATATATATATATATATATATATATATATATATATATATATATATATATATATATATATATATATATACATATATACACACACACACATATATATATATATAATATAATACATTTAATCACTGCTTTTTTTATAAATTGTTTACAAATATTTTGAGATTCTCAAAATAGACTGATATAAATAAAACAATGATCATTTCATTACTTTAAAGTCAATTACCACTACAATTAAAATGTATATTAATTGTATCTGATTACATATAATTATAATAAGATAATTAGTTTTTTTAATTAATTTTGTTGTCAAAAGTTTTGAAACTCAAAACAGACTGATATAAATAAACAGGCCATTTCATTTGATTATTTATACACAATAATAATAAAATAAAATGTTTTTTTAGAAATCTTGTTTACAAATATTTTGAGACTGACATAAAGAAATATATAATCACCTAATTTGATATATAATTATAATAAAATAATAAATTTAATTATGTTTTTTTCATAATTTTTTTTAAAAATGTTGAGACTGTCAAAATAGACTGATATAAATGCACTGATGATAATTTCATTACCTTAAAGTCGTCGGGCAGCAGCAGTTTGCAGGTTCGCAGGAAACTCAGAATATAGCGGAAGATTTCTCCATCTCTGTCGATGAAATAATGCTGCTTTAAACTGTCCAGAACGATGGGCTCCGTCCCGTTAAACAGCCTGCTGATCCTGACAATTAAAACACACACACATACACTGTTAATGGAGCCAGGCCAGCCTCCTCTACATGCATCAAAACAATTAGCATTTATTTCTGCCCGTTATTAGCAGCCAGCCAAAACTATGGGTTCAGAAACAAGAGGCTTTCGTCAGATTTGGGAGGAAAAGACGAGTGTTTCACATCTTTCTCATTCACTGCGGATTAATAAACTCCCACATCATATCAGAAAATAAAGCAGCACTGACAGAAACGTGAACACGCTCTTAATATGAGAGACATCACCAAACAATGTTTGTTTGTAATGTAATCTGTGGAAAATGCGATCATTTCAGTAAACATCTAACCTTTAAAAGTGACAGTGCGTTGATTCAATCAGCTCTCTGATATCTACACTGTAGGTTTTTGTAGATTTGAAAAGCTCAAAATACTCCAGAAATGGATTTACATGGCTTTTATCACGCTAGAAAGGTGCTCTAGAAATAGAAATTCCTTATTGACCATATTTGGAATGGTCATGAATATTAATGAGCTAAAAGGTGCAGCTTGTCAGTGTCTGCGCTCTCTAACACACACACACACACACACACACACACACACACACACACACACACACACACACACACACACACACACACACACACACACACACACACACACACACACACACGCACACACGCACACACACACACGCCCAGCTTTTCCTTCCGTTTGCAGACAGATGTGATCAGCATTATCACAGTAATCTACAGTTCCTGGATCAGTCCAGACTCTCAGAAACACACAGAACATCGGCAGCAGCACGTATTCATACAAAGAAGTGCAAGAAGGAGATTAACGTCAAATTATAACTTCAGAAAATGTAACGCACTGTTATTATGATTTTAGAGTTCATTTAATTGTAAAAATGGACAAGATTGAAGTTTTGGTGTGTACATTTACTCAAACAACAACAACAACAACAACCAGGGGTGTAGCAACAGGGGGATACGTCCCCCTCACTTTTAGAGACAGACTATTTAGAAA